TTTCACAATATTCTAATTTTCTGAGATTGTGGATTTGGGGGTTTTCATGAGCTGTAATCCATAATCAGCACAATTATGACAAATCACAGCTTGAACCATCTTGCTTTGCATGTAATGAGTCTATCTCATATATTAGTTTCACCTTTTAAGTTGCATTACTGAAATAAATTAACTTTTGCATGATATTCTAAGTTTTCGAGTTTCACCTGTACTTTAAACTAACATAATTATCAGAAACAATGGCAATAATAATTGAAAGCATTCAAAAAGATACTAACAATATATTGACATCAAAAATTATTACTATTAACAATGTTAAATAAGATATTATAACCTGTGCAGTACAATAGCATTTTGATCCACCAGATCAAGGGACAAAATGATAGAATGCTAAGCCTGTTGATCTAATACTTAGCAATTAGATTCTTTACATCTGTTTGTTCACCCATTATGTTGCTTTTAATTATAATTGCTAGATTATAATTAATATAGCAAGATGGAAATAACTTCCCAGTACATTAGGATGATACTAGTAGTTTTAGCATGGTATGTTAGTTCATGTTAATTAACCTCTATGGTTAAGAGGCCACTGGTAAGCAACAACAGAGGCATCCTCAGAGAAGGAACAATTTATGAAAACCATTGGCTCCTCATTTATACATGCACAGTAATGTTACATAAACATACAAAAGGGATAGAGTTTGTGCGGTGATAATGCAATGCTGCCTTCCTTATTTTGACAAAAGTATCAGATGTTGTGAACTCTGAATAGCAGGTAAATCAGACCCTTTGTTGCTTTCAATAAGCCAAAGGGTGCCAAGCTGCAGTTGTGCGCATAGGCAAAAGGAATGTTCAATGATCTTAAAATTCCAAATGTATCCTTCTGCAGAAAATATTGGACATCCCTGAATGAGAGATACTTCTATGCTGCTTCTATAAGTCAATTAGAATGTTAAGTACTGTACATACATAACAGTAGAATAAATATGTATCTGGCTGCATGGAAAGATCTCAGAAGTCTAACTTTTTAGCAAAATGAATTTTACTTAGAAGTAATCCACTATAGTCAGTAGGATTGGTTGATCACTAAATTTGGAAGCTAATTATGTTTAGTTAGTATTTGGATGGAAACCACCAAGGAATATAAAAGTACATAATATTTTGGAAGAAGGTGTAGGAAGTTGAAACCCACCCTTCCACTAGAAAATGGAATATTTTAGAAAATATTAAAAGGACAGAATATTTCCTCTAAATGGGAGACAGAAACTCAGTCCTGCCCTCCCCCCCTTTGTCAATAAGCCATTAAGGCCAGAGCCACTCTATTTTACATAACAAAGATCTCCCCCTTTCAGCTCCAGATTGATGGGATTAAGGCATGATAGTATTAGCCCTTTACCAATCTCACCACATGGCACCTGGGAAGAAGCAATGTTCAACTAAACTTGGACTCAAAACACAGCCTACAGAGTTGCCCCTGCATGGCCCCACAGGAATCTGACAACCAATCAGAATACAAGCTCAAGTTCAAAGCCCAGAGAGGGCATAAAACCAAGGACTTTCCGCCTCTCTCCCCTTTTTCTTCTTCACCCAACATTGAAGCATGTGATGACCTTTTCTGTTCAGGGCTCAAGCCGTGTGATCCTGTCCACCATTAAACCATCTTTCCAAGCAGACTCCATGTCTCCAGTGTCTTTTTCCCCACTTGGAGCTGAACCCAGAAAGACATTTCTTCCAATACTTTCAAGCCCTATGACTGAATTTACCGTATGTTTTTGTTTTAGAGCATGACCCTGGACCTGGGCAAATTCACTTAGGCATTATTCCACATTTGGTGGTTATTTCTGTCAATTAAGCATGAATAATAGGACTGTAGTTTTAGTTTAGTATAGGAGTCAGTTCACTGAATTATTTCTTTTGATTGTTGGTTATACTACCAAGACCTAAGCATCCATCTGCATGCATATATACACAAACGTACCCACACACACGTGTGTGTGTGTGTGTGTGTGTGTGTGTATGTATATGTATGTATGTATGTATGTATGTATGTATGTATGTATATAAACTGATAGAGAACAGCCATGCTTCCTAATTGAAATAAACTACAAAAACAGACCATCTACTTAAAAATACCTGACTTCAACTTAATGTGAACAAGATTGCATTGCAACCAATGGAGCAGCTTGCCTTCAGAAGTTGTGGGAGTTTTATTGCTGGAAGCTTTCAAGAAGAGACCGGACTGCCATCTGTCAAAAATGGTGTAGGGCAGTGGTTCCCAACCTGTGGGTTGCGACCCCTTTGGGGGTTGAACGACCCTTTCACAGAGCTCACCTAAGACCATCCACCTCCACTGGCATCGCCCATGCTCAAGAGCGCATCCTGAAGCGGCAGATGGCAAAGCAGCCTCCTCCCTGCTCCGGGCACCACCCAGACACCGCCCTTCCTGGTCTCCACACCAGAGAAAGGCCGAGGCGCGGAAGGGGGAGAGAGACAGGTTCTTCTGGATGGCAGATCAGCCTCGGCTCTGACGGACATCCAAAGCGAGCATGGTCAGCACTGCCGCTTCAGCCCTGCCGCCTGCACAGGGGATTGAAGGCACCCAGAGAGCAGGAGACCGACGGGGCAGTTGGGCCACCCACTTCAGCCAGTGGGATAGGCTCTTGCCCAGGCAGGCGCATGCTGGGATTCAAGACGCCTTGGGCCTGGATGCTGCCTTTGCCGCCCCTGCCGCTGGTCCTGTTCTGCGGGCTAAACTGAGCTCAGAGGCTTTTTGGTCCCCGGGAAGGGCTGGCAGAAGAGATCGGAGGGGAGGACAGGCCACGCCCACCCATTCCTTCTGTCCTGAGGAATTCCATTTAGGACGGAAGCACAGTTCGATGTAGTTTAAGCCTCTGTTTAAAATCCCATTTAAAGGGCAACTTCTTAATCTGTGTTAAATCAATTGATCGCATGAATTAACTGCTACGCGCTCCCACTCCTGGTTGTAACGATTCTTGAGAAAGAAAGAAAGGAAGGATGGAAGGAAGGAAGGAAGGAAGGAAGGAAGGAAGGAAGGNCCAGAAGGACATTTCTTCCAACAAAGGCAATTGCAAACTATTTTGTCAAGACAACTGCATGGTTATACTCAGGTATTTACTAGGAGCAAAGATCAAAAGGGGTCTGTGCCCCCTTTTTTAGCTTACTGAGTGTCACTCCCCTCAAATCAAGGACATAGTCCTTCTCCAACTACCAGGTAATAAAAAAAATAAATTAAAAAAACAAGACTTTTCATGGTAGGCAATTGAATATGAATGGAGTCAGTAGAACTTTTATTCTGCCTATAGACAGAGCCTCCTGTTTTGAACTGAGCTCAAAATGCTATGATTTAAAAAAAAATTCTTTCAAATAGAGGCAATTACTTTTTAAGCAGTAGGTTGTTTATACAGAGTTTATTTAGAGTTTTATGTGCTTGCTGCAAATAACTCTTTGTAGGAATATTTTTAAAGTGTTACATCAAAGTATATTTTGTCTAGGACCTAAAATATCCTGGAATTTCTATTACGGAATCTAAAATAAGAATGCTGGAAAGAAATAGGGACTTTTTTAATGTGTTTTCTCCAACTTTTAAAATCTCTTGATTCCTGGGGTCACAGTCTACTTTATTTCTGTGTCATACATCAGTCTGGTTCTTTCTTCATTGTTTTTGATTACTGAGGTCAATGGCCCAAGAAATAGAAATATTCAGCAAAACCAAAAATATATTATTGATTAGTTTATAATTTTAAATGACAAGTATGGCTCCATCTAATCATTTAAAACATTCACACAATTTTGAAAACTCTCTCTCCTGTCTGCAAGATGAGGCAATTCTTCCCTCCGCCCTAACTGTCTTAAAACCCTTAAAGTTGTAGTCATATTATAAATAAAACTAGCCATTCTCAGGCAAATTGCTGATTAATACTTACACTTCCTGCCCACAAATCTTCCCTTTCCCTGGAAAGTTTGAAGTATACCATTATTTCTTCTCCACTTTTGAAACTCAGGTAGCGGCAGTCAGGCCCAGTGTAGTCTTTAATGGCTAACACGCTGCTCATAGTTGCTGGGTAAAAATTAAAAACAAAGGCAATATTTTACTTTCTCATGTTATTTAACAAACACAGAACCAAGCATTTATCCATACAATGCAGCAATCAATACAGCAACTCTTTAAATCAGGTGTATTTCTTCTCAGGATTGTGAAAAGCATTAATGTGATCTTGGGAAAAGATGCAGCTGCTTTAAGGTGCTGTTGTTTGCATGGGCGCTGAAACACAAACACATTTTCCTTATGTAATATGTGACAGATGATCCTGGTTTAACATTTAATCTTAAATTATCCACACTTATTCTGTTACCAGAAGCAAACAATCATAGAGTCACTGGGAATGAGTTTGGCAGCCATATAAATTTTCTTAATAAATAAGAGGTTTTTTAACTTAGTAATTTACTCTATCTATTTTGCTATTAGGACTGTAGATATTATTTGACAAGATACTTTACCCTCCCAAAATTATTTTATCACTTACTACTATACAGAAGTGAATATAAAAAGTCTATACACCCCTATTAAAATGCAAGTTTTTTTAATTGTAAAAAAACCCCAAGATAAATCATGTCAGATTTTTTTATATCTTTAATATAATGTATAAGTAGTACAATTCAACTGAAAAGCAAACTGAAATCTTTTAGGGGAAAATAACAAAAAAACTTATAATAATGTGATTGCATAAATGTGCACACCCTTAAATTAATACTTCGTTGAAACAACTTTTGATTTTATGATAGCATTGTACAGCTTATATTCATTAATAGGGCTGTGTATGTAGACATTTCCAAGTATGCATGGTTGATTTAATAGGGTTTACTGCTTGCAAACTAAGTAACTTGCATAAAAATGTTGGAGGACTTTTTAGTAATATATTTACTCTTAACAATTTTGACTGAAATACTAAAAAAGAAAGCTAGCCAAATATAATCTTCTTATATGCTCTATAAATTTACCAATAATTAATATTAATAAAAACATATTTAAACCTAGATTATTAACTTATTTAGTTGATAGAAGGATACAATTAAGGCTGTTGTGTTGTGAGGTTCTATTTCCAAGGTCTGTTAACAGGTTTGCTATTGAAGTTTATAAATTCAAATCTGTTAGCAGTAATTTTTCAGGCTATGGAACTTGTTAAAAAAATTACAGAGCGCCATATCATGAAGCTAAACTCTTGTGATAAAAAATTGGCTGAGCTTGATTTCTAATCTAATTATTATTTTTGCCTTTAGTCTTTCTTGGAACGCCATCAAGTTCTCATAGAACTATGAGAATGTGCTGCCATTTGAAAAGAGTTATATTATTTATAATCTCAGCAAATGACTCCTTTTTAAAAAAACATCCTCATGTTAGAAAATGATTAATTAATCTTTCATAAAGTGGCACATCGATAGTACTTTCCTTATGATTTCAAATTAGTGGTTAAACTTTTCAAATTAATTTCCCAAAGTTTTTCAATTAAATATATTGGTAGAGTTTTGCAGTGTAACTATACTATTGAATAGACTTAGTTAAAACAAAGATCTTTGTACTTACTTTCACATTCTGAATCTCCACACTTTTTCTGTGTTGAAAGCACCTTAGTACTCTTTGTGTTTGTTGAAAATGAAAGAATTAATAGTGTAAGACTGATGTCTAAAATCTTCAACATTCTTAAAAATGTTATTCCTGAAAGAATGTTTAAAAATTAGAGTCTCATGAATAGAATAGTTTTTCAATTTCTTTAGTTAATAAGCTTTTAAAGATAAAAAGAACTCGTCAATTCATTTTCTTCTGTTCTTTAGACTCTGCTCCCACAAATGCCCTTTCAACAGTGTTTTGAGTCAGCTGTCCTGCTTTAATAATTAACCATGTTCAATACATAGATTACGGTTTTAAAATAAAAAAACTTATTCCCAAAAGTTATTTTAATTAGAAAATCCTGCTTTACCAGTATACTAATCTGAAAATGAAAATTGTTTGTGTGACTTGTGCATTATAGGAAGAAATGTTTCTAGTAAGATTAATATATGATTCCCCCCCCCAATTATTGTTTGAGTTCTGTAGTTGTTTGAATCCCTATCTTTTGTAGGAAGTTAAAACCCATCCCTTTCCTAGAAAAATGAAATATCCTAGGAAATATTGAAAAGGCAGAATATTATATTTCCCTGGATGTGAAAAGGGAGAAACATGTTTTAAAGACAAAGTAGGTCCCTGCAGCTTCCTGTCCCCCCCCCTTTCTCAATGGGCCATTAAGATGCCCAAGCCAGTCCCTTTACATAATAAA